TCTGTCTCTCTCTCTCTCTCTCTCTCTCTCTCTCTCTCTCTCTCTCTCTCTCTCTCTGTGGCCAAGGAAAGACAAGCACTTTATTGACTGAGCCATCTTCCCAGCTTTATGAGCACTGTCTTCATACTGTTTTTTGAGGTTGGACCATATATGATCTCACAGTAAACCAATGAAAAGGCTTTATGTCCCTTTCTTTGTAAAGCATATCCAGCCAGCTCTTCATATTTGCCTAGCCTTTCAGAGTCTTAGACAACTCTATATTTTTTGAAGAAAAAAATGAAGCCTGTTGTGCACATTTCCTGTTTCTCAGGACCTATACTAATGGAAAATGTCATGTAGAAATAAACTATAGCACACTGAGGATGCTGTATCAGGTCATGGTTATCTGCATTAAACAGAAAGTATATTGGTCCTCAATCTAGGTTTGTAAGGAAAGGAAATGTCTGTGACCATAGAGAATTGCTATGGCAAGAATGGTAAGTATGTTCCTTCCCACCCCTTATTATAGTGCTTCATAGCACAATAATAGACAGGGGTCTTGAACACCTTCAGTTCCTATTGGTATCTTGAGACAGTGAGTTTACCCCCTGAAAGGTCCTGAAATGGTAGAGCAGGTAAAGAGAAGACCTGTGAGATATGACAGGTCTATTTCAAAAAACCCATGACACCAAGTGATCATTATAAAAGGACTTATGCAGCATCAAGATGCCATAGCTTTCATAATGGGAAATTGCGATTTATGACCAAGGAGCCACACATCAGCAGATCAGTCATCCAACTCTTGGGGAATTTTAGGACTCTGCTGCAGAGAAATATCTCTAAATCCCAGCTATCTCCAGTCTTTAATGTGATTCCTCCAGTAAACTGTCCTGTGGATGTTATTGGCAAACTCTAGCATATTTGAGTTGGAACCACAGCTGGACCACTGTATCTTTCTATGGACTTGGCCACTCAATTTGGCCAGCTTGGTTAGTTCTCTAACTTGTGAGGTAAGAAAATGGTACTCTCATGTTGTGAAGACCACTTGCTTAGGAAGAAACTTATTTAAGAGCACAGCCTAGTATCAAGCACAAAGCAATCACTCAGTTCATTCTAGTTTTTGTCTTCTTGAATATTTAACCAGTGATTCAGTCAGGAAATAGTGGGTACCAAAGTGATGAGATGTTTACTACACAGTGTCTTAAGCACTGACCTTGGGGAAGAATCATTAATCATTTTGTTTTTATACAAATATGCAGCAGCCTTTTCCCACTGTCTAGAAACACTTAGCTTTTGGTAATATTTTAAGAGAAGAAATCACCTACTTTAATTCCTATATCAACTTCCCAACTATATTTCACTTTGAAAATTTCCAAAAACAAAGCATGAGATATTTGAACTGTAAGATCTACCTCCTAGGCCTAACTTCGTTTTTAAATTCTCTGCCTTTTGCAAAACTTATTCAGAATTGTGAGCCCAAACTCCTTTGTATATAAACCCAGCAGGCTGATAATCTTGGGTTGGAATCTGGGCATCCTTAGGAGGGTGTCATTGTAAGTACCTATAAACTAGAGAGTTTTAGGAAGTTACTTTGGCTCTGTTATACCTCAGAACCATCCTGAGTAACTATTTGTCAAGGCAGTACCATTCAGCAATACTAAATCCGTGTGCCTCAGCATGTGTCATCTTTTGATGTCTGTTGATTCCTAGGATTGTATTACTATTAATTATTATTATTATTATTCCATTCATTTACATATCAAATGATATCTCACATCCTGGTTACACCTCCACAACCCTCCCATCCCAATCTGCCCTCCCTCCTCCCCTTTGCCTGTATGAGAGTGCTCCCCCAGCTACCCACACTCTCCTGCCTCACCTCTCTAGGTTGTCTTTTAATGGAGATGTTCTCCTTCAAATATCCAGCTAAATTTCCATTTCCCCCATTTATGTTTGTATTTGTCTTTTCTAATTTGTTTTCACAAAGCACCGAAGAGAGTCCTAAGAAATTTGAAGAAATTTGCCTTTCATTGCTTCTCCCTTCTCGTTGGAGATATTTGGGGCAGGATCTCAATACCATAGCCTGGACTAGCCCAGAACTCACTGTATAGCCCAGAATGGTCTCAAACATAGCAGCAATCTCCTTACCTTAGTTTTCTCCACCTGTGTGCTGTAGTTTCTGGTGTTAGTACCACACCTAACTGTAAGTGGAGCTTGCTATAAATCATTTCTCTGCTCATGTCTCACTGACACCTGGAGAAGCTGGAGATGAGATGACCAGAACAAAACTCTTGCCACTAACTATTCTGGTGAATTTAAAGGCACCTTTTATATCCTTGCCAC